TGAGAAAGGATACATATAGGTAAGATTTTAAAGAAAATGTTTCATATTTAACCAATACTACAGGATTTTAGGTTGTAAATCATCTTCCTTGAGAATTTTGAAGTCACCACTTCTTTTAACCTGCCATTTCTGATAACATCTTTGTATGTAACCCATTTTTCTGCTTCAGGAGATTTTGTTCTAAGTTTTTACCATGAAGTGCCTTGGTGAAGGTGCATATGTTTTAATTAGCTTTGGGCATTTGGTAGGCTGTCTTAGTCACAGACTCATTTCCTTCAGTTCTGGGCAATTCTTGTATTATTTAATAATCACCACACTCTCCCCCTCACCCCCCACCCCTAGTATTTCTTCCTGGAATTCCAGCATTAATCTTCTGTCTTTCTTATCTTTCTCTCCTGCTTACCATCTTTTTGCCTTTTGATTTTAATTTTCTGGGAGAATTTTCTTTTTTCTTTTTTTTTTTCATCCAGGAAAATCATCTGATTCAGAAACACGGACCCAATGGAGTGGAATTTCATCACTACTGAGAGAATTTTCTTGATTTGACCTCTGATCCTTTTTTTTGAACGTATGTCAAGCATCACATTTTTTTAAAAATATAACTTTTTATTGATTTCAGAGAGGAAGGAAGAGGGAAAGAGTTAGAAATATCAATGATGAGAGAGAATCATTGATTGGCTGCCTCCTGTATGCCCCTTACTGGAGATCAAGCCTGCAACCCGGGCAAGTGCCCTTGGCAGGAATCGAACCCGGGACCCTTCAGTCCGCAAACTGACGCTCTATCCACTGAGCCAAACCGGCCAGGGCAAGCATCACATTTTTAATTTTCTTTTTTTTTTTTTTAAATCTTTATTGTTCAGATTACATTTGTTCCTCTTTCCCCCCCCCATAACTCCTCTCCTCCCAGTTCCTGCCCCACCCTCCGCCCTCACTCCCCACCCACTGTCCTCACCCATAGGTGCACGATTTTTGTCCAGTCTCTTCCCGCATCTCCCATTCCCCTTTCCCCCCCAAGAATAGTCAGTCCATTCCCTTTCTATGTCCCTGATTCATTATAATCACCAGTTCATTCTGTACATCAGATTATTTATTCACTTGATTCTTAGATTCACTTGTTGATAGATGCATGTTTGTTGTTCACAATTTGTATCTTTACCTTTTTCTTCTTCCTCCTCTTAAAGGATACCTTTCAGCATTTCGTATAATACTGGTTTAGTGGTGATGAACTCCTTTAGCTTTTCCTTATCTGTGAAGCTCTTTATCTGACCTTCAATTCTGAATGATAGCTTTGCTGGATAAAGTATTCTTGGTTGTAGGTTCTTGGTATTCAGCACTTTGAATATTTCTTGCCACTCCCTTCTGGCCTGCAAAGTTTCTGTTGAGAAATCAGCTGACAGTCGTATGGGTATTCCCTTGTAGGTAATTGAGTCTCTTTCTCTTGCTGCTTTTAAGATTCTCTCTTTGTCTTTTGCTCTTGGCATTTTAATTATGATATGTCTTGGTGTGGTCCTCTTTGGATTCCTTTTGTTTGGGGTTCTCTGCGCTTCCTGGACTTGGAAGTCTATTTCTTTCACCAGGTAGGGGAAGTTTTCTGCCATTATTTCTTCAAATAGGTTTTCAATATCTTGCTCTCTCTCTTCTTCTGGCACCCCCATAATTCGGATGTTGGTATGCTTGAAGCTGTCCCAGAGCCTCCTTACACTATCTTCGTATTTTTGGATTCTTTTTTCATTTTGCTTTTCCGGTTGGGTGTTTTTTGCTTCTTCGCATTTCAAATCTTTGACTTGATTCTTGCGCTCCTCTGGTCTGCTATTGGGTGTCTGTATAATATTCTTTATTTCAGTCCGTGTATGCTTAATTTCTAGTTGGTTCTTTATCATAGCATCGAGGGTCTCATTAGTTTTCGTGACTCTCTCCTCAAGTTTATTGACAGCTTCTAGCACATTTTTGCAAGCCCTCAAAATTGCGATTTTTAGCTCTATATCCTCCATTTCTGTCATGTTTTTTTGTCTCCGCATTTTTTATGCTTTCTTGGTGCACCCCCTAGTGGTCTTTGTGCGCAGTCTTGTTCTAGTTGAGCCTTGATTGTTGTAGTTAATACTAGAGGGATTTGACCACCAGGCCGACTGGCTGTGTGAATCAGCTGTGTCTGCCGCGGAAAACTTCTGTCCTCTGGGGAGGTGCTAATCTAGCCTTTGCCTGAGGCGATCCGGCAAATGGCTCTGCGCAGGGCTTGGGCGGGGCGGGATCAACAGGGCGGGTGGAGGGAGCAGTTATGGCCGCTCTCAGTCCAGTTCCCAGAGGCTCTGCTTCTCAGAACCCCAGGAACCGCTGCAAACCTCGGAGCGAAAGCTACCTTCCAACTGATGCCAGACAATCCCGCTTCTCCCGTTTGAGTCCGAGTCCCCAGCGATTCGCCCAGATCTGGGGCTCAGAGTCTGAGACTCCCTCCCGACTGAAAACGACAACCGCGCCCTCAGCCACCAGCCCGCTTTGCGCGCGCACCTCCGCACCTGAGTATTTTCCACACTGCGCCTGGGTGATATCCGTTCTGTCTTTTAGTTGTATTTTTGAAGTGGTTGTTTGCGGCAGCAGTCTCCGGTGTTTACCTATGCCGCCATCTTGGTGGAGTCCACATTTTTAATTTTCAAAAGCTCATTCTTGTTTTCTGATCTTCCTTTTTACAGCCTTCTGTTCTTATTCACAAATTCAATATCTTTCCTGAGGTATTTATTGTAAGAGTTTTTTCTTGGTTAGTTCAGGCTGCCATAACAAAATACCATAGGCCAAGTGGTTTAATCAACAAATTTATTTCTCATAGTTCAGGGGCTCAAGTCCCAGGTCAAGATGCCAGCAAGGTAGGTTTTATTCTGAAGCATCTTGGTGTGTATAGGCTGCAACCTTGCTGTGTGTTTAGAGGACCCCCTCATTATATGAACACATAGGGAGAGAGCAATCTCTAGTGTCTCCTAAGGATAGTAACCAATTGTGAGGCCCCCCCGCCCCGCCCATGACCTCATCTAATGCTAATTACTGCCCAAAGGCTCCATCTTCAAATCCCAATACAGGACTTCAACATAAAAATTTTGGAAGATGTAAACATTCAAGTGTTTTTTTCCCCAGTCTCAACTTGTATATTTTTTCTTTTGTTTTTAACTCACAAAGATTTTTTTTTTACAGATGTCTAATGAATACCCGATTAATGATGTTTCTGTAACAACACTAGTATAGCACTGGCACTGCACTGAAGTACTAACTCATTTACACATTGATTATTTCTCAGTTCTCAGCTGGGCTCTTGATGCTATTCAGCAATCATTCATTTTGCTCCTAGGATTTTTTCCCTCCCTTTTTCTCCAGGTTCTCTCTCATGACTCCCAACTCCTTTATTCCACTATCTCAACACCTTCTATCCTATCACCAGGATTTTCTCTCTTTGCCTCCTTCCTTTTGGTCACAATGGAAGATGTTCATCTCAGCGGCTAGTCCCACCAAAGATCTGTTCTCCATCTTTCACCATCTCCCATGTCCTCAGGCCACTCTCACTTATCCCAGCTCACCCTTCACACACTCTCTCAACCTCAGCAAAACAAGCATATCTTCCTTTTAAAACAAACTTCCTCTGAGTTTTCTTAATTAAACTTCTGGAAAGAGGAGAACAATTACTGTTTTCCTCTTCATTAGCATGTCGTGTCTGTCCTCAACATGTCATTGAAACTACCCTTACCAACATCACCAATATCTGCTGAATTTCCAGGTGATTCTCAAACCATCAAAAAGATGACTCCCTGCCGAAACTGGTTTGGCTCAGTGGATAGAGCGTCGGCCTGCGGACTGAGGGGTCCCGGGTTTGATTCCGGTCAAGGGCATGTACCTGGGTTGCGGGCACATCCCCAGTGGGAGATGTGCAGGAGGCAGCTGGTCGATGTTTCTCTCTCATCGATGTTTCTAACTCTCTATCTCTCTCCCTTCCTCTCTGTAAAAAATCAATAAAATATATTTAAAAAAAAAAAAAAAAAAAAGATGACTCCCTGAACTGCTAGCCAGTGTGCTCACTGGTGTTTTTGAGAATTCCTGAGGTTCTACTTGTTATGAGACTTCATTGTGAAATAGAGCCCATTTATTCCTAGCTTTTAAAAAAATTATATGACCAGGCATTTATTTGAGCTAAGGTTCAGAATGTGATGTGTAGGTATCAAATTGGTAAGCTTTTAGTAGGATTCTGCTTTCACCATTGAGAACACAATATGCAAGCAACTATTGGAGGGGGAGAGTGGTGACAACAAGGGCAAATTCTTAAAAAGTTCTTCACAGTTTGTAATGTACATTGAATAACAGATTTGCCTTCCTGGTAATTTTGTTTAATCTTGAAGTGTTTTCGTTCTTTGAGCTTGTTAGCATGGACACCCAAAGGAGCAAGGCTTATCTAGGAATGTGCTAAGTAGTGGAGAAAGCCAGTTTGGCCTTAAAAAACAAATGTAGATTCTTTTTTTTTTCTTTATTGAGTAAGGTATTACATATGTGTCCTTATCCCCCCCATTTCACCCACCCCCACCCCCAAATGTAGATTCTTGATCAGAAATTGAGTTGATGATTACCTATGTCTTTATAAAGAGATTTTTATCAACTCTATAATCCTGATTATAACAATTTTACTTATACATCTTTTAGAGAAAGAGACTAAAAAATTATATTTCTAGAAAAATATGTTCAGTAAATAAGTCACATGTAAATATCACTATTTATATATTCATTTTTCTTTTTTTAATTCCTCACCCGAGGGTATTTTTCCATTGATTTTCAGAAAAAGTGGGAGAGGGAAAGGCAGAGAGAAATATCAATGTGAGAGAAACACATCAATTGGTTGCCTCCTGCATGCGCCCCAACCAGGGCCCAGGCCGGGGAGGAGCCTGCAACTGAGATACATGCCCTTGACTGGAATCGAACCTGAGACCCTTTGGTCTGCAGGTCAACGCTCTACCCCCTGAGCCAAACCGACTAGGGCTATATATTCTTTATATATAACTTTGTAACTCAGGGGTTGATTATTTTGAAAGAAACAACACTTATGTGGATATATAATTTCTGTTATACTTGTTAAGAGCTACCTGTCACATTGCCTTATATCAATTCATCCAGTTTGGGTCCTTTAGCAGTTGAAAATATCTTGTTCTAGTTGTGTTGCCTTTTTTAAAAAAAAAACAAAAACAATCAAAATGGAGTAACAGTACCATATACATCATGAAAGCATTGACAAAAAATGTTTTTTCTCTTTCTTAATGAATTACTTCACTTTGACTTCTATATTTAAAAACAGAAATGTACCATTTTTACAAACTATTTTATCTGAGCCATACGGTTAAGGAATGTATAACAGTGCAATCTGATTCTGATTGCTTTATTGTCATTCAAATCTTTAAGGAGGTTTTAGTTGAAACTAAAACACATTTTAATCACATTCAATATTCCTTACACTTCAGGATACTTTAAGTTTTTCTGCTAATAACTGTTGAAGAGCTTTGTTTTTCAATAAACTAAAAACACCTCAACCATATGAGTTTCTACAAGACATTGTCACTATTTTGATGGCACTCTTTTTCTTGTCCAAGACGAAGGTGTCCCTGAAAAATAAGTTTAGACCATGGACTGGGAAATATGAATCAGCCACTTTCATATTACTTGCATTGTCAGCCAAGTAAATACTTTCTCACTTTCATCTATGCATATCTTACTACTGATGCACTCGATTGTGTGCCTACTCTGACCTGTTTTAGTATGTCTTTTTTTTTTTAATGACAAAGTACAGCTGACCCAAGGTATTATCTCATGAGGTTGAGTACTTGAGTTCTTGCTGCACATTTCTTCATCAGTAAGCATTGCAAGAAATTTTTTCCCCTTGGTTTTATATAGTCAGTTTGAACCTGGGGGCTTCTTCTAAATAAAAATAGGCTGTATAATTTAAAATCTTGCTGCCAGTGAGAGGACCAGTTATATTTTCAGTAACCATGCTATTTTAATAGAATGTACTAAAAATTGAAATTGTTACTGTGAATTGGTTATTTTTTGTTTCTTTTGGGGGAGTGATAAAAGAGCCTGCATCAGCCCTAGCCGGCTTGGCTCAGTGGATAGAGCGTCAGCCTGCGGACTGAAGGGTCCCAGGTTCGATTCCAGCCAAGGGCACATGCCTGGGCTACGGGCTCAATCCCCAGTAGGGGGTGTGCAGGAGGCAGCCAATGAATGATTCTCTCATCATTGATGTTTCCCTCCCCTCGCCCTTCCTCTCTGAAATCAATAAAGAAATATAAAATAAAAATAAATAAATAAATAAATAAATAAAAAGAGCCTGCATCATAGGGTAGTTTTTAGGGTCAAATGAATTAATTTCACATAAAATGTTTAGAATGGTGCCTAGCACAGAGTAAAGCATTTGATAAATGTGATCTATCATTGCTTACCTTTTTTGTATTGGACAGTCCTTTATGATAATGCAGACAGTCCTTTATGGCAATCCAGTAGCAGATGGAGAACTAAGAACGCTGCACAGAGCTATTTGCCCTTTTTCCCACCTCTCATCTTTTAAAAAACGTATTCATAATTTATCTTAAGGAAGTATATTGTGAATACTATATGAAGAAGGCTCCAATACATTCTTGTTCAGTAACATTATGAATTTGCATATTTTATAGTATTGTATATCATACATAACTTGAAATATGAGACACTGTGCATTATAGGTTTGTTTTTTTTAATATGGAACTCTTCACGCACCTGTGTATCATCCTTGTGCGGGAACCACGCTAATCTCTATATTGTTCCAACTTCAGTCTATGTGCTGCAGAAGCAAGCAACATTATGGTTTAGTCATTTTCTTGAAGGGGATTTAAAAAGAAAAATATACTTTGGGTATTGGTTTATATATTCAGGGGATGGCAAAAGTAGGTTTATTATTATTATTTCATATCATTTATCTTTTAGGTGATGATGGCTGGTAATTTAACCAACAAAAGTGGGTACTTACACAATACCTAATTTTGCCCACCCCTGTATATTAATAAGTTTGATGTAACTAACAGGTACACAAAAGAGACTGTAACCAAACGGGACTTATTTAACTCACACAAAAAGGAAGTCCAGTGTAGTCAACCTAGGCTTGTATTTTCATTCCATCATTCTTAGCATGTAGGCCTATCTTGATGCCTGTTGCCACAAGATGCAAGATTGCTGCTCCACCTCCATCCTCTTGTCCAGGTGTCAGGCAGGAAGAAGAGAGGATGATTAAAAGGCAAAAAGGAAACGGAATAATGCTTACATCAAGAAAGTACGAGTTTTCCCAGAAACCCTCAACTTCATTGGTCAGAACTGCCATTTGATGCCTTCCCAGGCAAAAATCAGACTTGTTAGTAAAGAAGGGGAAATGTGTGCATAGTCTATAACAGTGGCCACCATAGCTTGCATGTGAAAACTGCACAATCTCAATTTCTATAGCTCTTCCCGTCTTACTCCATTTGTGCTGTTATTACAGAATGCCATATACTGTGTGGCTTATAAACAACAGAAATTGATTTTTCACGGTATTGAGACTATGAAGGCCAAGATCAAGAAACTGGTAAGATTTGGTGTTTGGTGAGGGCTGGCTTCCTGGCTGTAGGCTGCTGTGTTCTCACATGGTGGAAGGGCAAAGGAGCTCTCTAAGGCACCCTCTTGACATAGTCATCTCCCAAAGCCCCCCCTCTTCGTACTATCACCTAGGGGGGTAGGTCTCAATATAGGAATATTGGGGGAGATAAAAACATCTATGGTATCCCCTAATATTTCTACAGGGCTTTCACATCTGTTGTCTCCTTCGATACTGCATCACTGATGGATTATTGTGCTCCTTTTTAGAAGGGAGGAAAAGGGCCAGGGAGGTTAAGTAATTTGCTCAACATTACCCAGCCAGAATTTCAGCCTTTTTCATTACTCAGCTCTTCTGAGTTAACTGGAAACAACTTTCAGTTTTCTAGGCCTGTAGCTGATTTTGAAGGAATGTTTACATAGCTTATGAAAACAAATGCAATTTAAATATAGCTGCAGTGTTGCACATTTAGTAATCCATCAGTGGGAAGAGCCTGCTATAAATACTTGCTGTAGTGATTTAGCTTAATGGGGGAGGCAGCCACCTAGAGCAAGAAAAGAAATGACCCACTTCACCAGAGCAAATGACCTTTCATGGCTTTTCCCAGCCCAAGTTCCCTCTAGAGGACACTGCTGCCACTAATAGTCTGAAAGATCCGGGAGAAGGTGAAAAGTGAAAAAGAAACCCAATTATTGCCACTACCTTGCTATATTCAGGTTTGAACCACCATTCTGGAAGAATTTAGATAAAACAATTTGTTTTGAAATATCTGACCCCTAGCTCTTTCTTTTAAAATATATTTTATTGATTTTTTTAACAGAGAGGAAGAGAGAAGGATAGAGAGTTAGAAACATCGATGAGAGAGACACATTGATCAGCTGCTTCCTGCACACCTCCTACTGGGGATGTGCCCACAACCAAGGTACATGCCCTTGACCGGAATCGAACCTGGGACCTTTCAGTCCGCAGGCTGATGCTCTATCCACTGAGCCAAACCGGTTAGGGCTGACCCCTAGCTCTTGAGTCAGACTTGGTGTCAGCAAAGCCACATTCTTATAGGGAGAAAACAAGGTTAGGTATCTTCCTGATTTCCAAGTGCTCCAGAAGGCCCATGTCCCTGTAATCATTTTTATTCTATAAAATTTTCTTCAAGTACACAAGTAATACAAGAATACATTCTCATTTTTTTTAATTCCAGCAATTCAGATAAAAAGTATTTTCAATCCAAGTCCCTTTCCCAAAAGAAAGCTTACCTTTTTCTATTACATCTAGATATTGTTATAAACACCAAGCAGTTCTTGAAAGGTGTATGAAAATAAGTGATAATTAAAGCAAGCCACACTGTAGTCAGGTTTACCATTGTTTTTGTCTTCTTTATAGTCAACGCACACCCTTATTGCCTGCACCTGGGGCACAAGGCTTCTAGCACCCAACCCTTGGTATTCCATTGTATCTATCTCCACTCTATTTATAATCGAGTATGTCCAAAATTGAATTTATTTTCCACCATAAATGTATTTTCTAGCTGTCAGGATGTTGCATTATATTATTTGTCACTTTCCCCACAATTAGACTGAGGTCTTGCAAGAGAAAGACTACTGGTATGTCTGCATTCCAAAATGGTTCAGCCCTGGCTGGTGTGACTCAGTTGACTGGAGCACCAACCATGCACCGATTTGATTCCAGGTCTGGGCACATACCCAGGTTAGAGGTTTGATCCCCGCATACGGGACGCAAACAATGGATGTTTCTCTCTCCGCCTCCCTTCCAATCTCTCTTAAATTAATACAAACATATCCCCGAGTGAGGATTAAAAAATGTTCAATGGGCGCTCTTCCTCTGGGGAGCAGGCCAGCGCCTTTCCCATCCTGTTACCTTTGGCCCCTTCTTTTGCCTCTGTGCTTTGTTTCCTGAGTCCATTTCTTCTAAGCTCACTTCTATGCTGCCTTTACAAATATAGATACACTAGAGGCCTGGTGCACAAAACTGTGCACTGGTGTGTGTGTGTCCCTCAGCCCGGCCTGCGCCCCCTCGCAGTCCGGGAGCCCTCAGGGATGTCCTGTGGGGAGCAGGCCTGACATTCTTAGTGCTGCCGCGGACATGGGAGAGGATCCGGCCACCGCCACTGCACTGGCTAGCAATGAGCTGGCTTCTGGCTGAGCGGTGCTCCCCCTGTGGGAGTGCACTGACCACCAGGGGGCAGCTCCTGCGTTGAGCGTCTGCCCCCTGGTGGTTAGTGTGCGTCACAGTGACAGGTCGTCTGCCATTCGGACGATTTGCATATTACCCTTTTATTATATAGGACTAGAGGCCCAGCGCAGGATTAAATCATGCCGGTTCCCCAGGCCTAGCTGCAATCAGGGCCGTGTCCGCTGCCCAGCGTCACTCCTCCACCTCCGTGGCTCCTGCCCCGTGAACCTCCACGCTCACAGCCCCCATCCAGGGCGAGGCTCCTCGGCCTCTGCTGCCCTCACCCCGCCACCCTCTTCTGCCTCAGCCGCCCAGCAAAGCTCCACGCTCACAGCCCCTGCCCTGCAAGGCTCCTCAGCCTCTGCAGCCCCACCCCCCACCAACGCTCTTCTGCCTCAGCCGCCCAGCAAAGCTCCACGCTCACAGCCCCCGACCCGCTCCTCCGCCTCAGCCACCCTGGGAGCTCCACGCTGACCCACCCTGCGAGGCTCCTCAGCCTCCGCAGCCCCACCCCACCATGCCTGTGAGCCCACAGCTCCCTCCTCTCGGTCTACATGCTGCAGGTGGCTGGGGGCCCACAGCTCCTGCTCCCTCAGCTCCCTAGCCTGGTGTTCGGTGGTCTGTCTGGTCATTTTGGATGTTACAGGCCCTGGCTCTTTATATACAGAGACTAGTAGCCCGGTGCACAAAATTTGTGCACTCGAGGGGGGGGTCCCTCAGTTATTAAACATTTTATGGCACAACACTGACCACATTGGTGGTGGTGGTGGTCTTGTCAGAATGTGTTATATTATGCAGATGAAAATCTATTTAAACAGATTTGATGTAGATATTTTCAAAGATGGAAGAATTGTCCCTGTCAACTATTTTAGTTGATTCATATCTTCACTAATTGTCATCATTGCAAAGTTTTCAGTCCCCATATGGATTGCTGTCATGTGCTGTCCCTGTCCTTTGTAGCCTTTGTTACCTTAAGGACTCTAGTTTTCCATTTATATGTTTAAGTACCAACCTTACTGGCTTAAAAATGTAAGCTTTTAACACTGCTCTCTCTGTTCCGTATCCTTCCGATGAAAAGTGGAGTTGGGTTGCAGCACAGGAGAGAAATTCAGAAGGGGAATATTGAAGTAATGACTACAGTAGGAGAAGAGGGAACCTGTTTCCCTGGCCACAGGCGTTGGCGCCCTGGACCACAGGGCTGGTAGCTTCTCCGGGTGGCTGCAGCCTGGGACCTCTGGCCAGTAGCTTGTCCATCTCCTGGGCTGCAGCCAGCCCCAGGCGCTGGGGCCAGGACCAAAGGTGGGCGGCTTCTTCTTCTGGGGGCTAAGCCGGGTGCGGGGCAGGGAAGCCGCGGTGGGGGATGCTGGCAGCAGCTGCTTCCCTGACCCTCACCCAGCTTATGCCTTCACGGATCACAGAAGCCGGGTTCAGGGCAGGGAAGCCACGGCCCGGGACGCTGGCCTGACCCGCACCCAGCTTCTGCGATTGCCCCCGCACCCGGCTTCTGCAGTCACAGATCACAGAAGCCGGGTGCGGGGCAGGGAAGCCGCAGCCAGGGACACTGGCGGCGTATGCTTCCCTGACCCACACCCAGCTTCTGTGATCACCCCCGCACCTGGCTTCTGTGGTCACTGATCACAGAAGCTGTGTGCGGAGCAGGGAAGCCATGGCCAGGGCGCTGGCGGAGGCTGCTTCCTTGCCCACGCACCTGGCTTCTGTGATCGCCCCTGCACTGGGCTTCTGCGGTCACGGATTGCAGAAGCCGGGTGCGGGGCAGGGAAGCCGCGGCTGGGGACACTGGCGGCGGATGCTTCCCTGACCCGCACCCGGCTTCTGCGGTCACAGATCGCAGATCGCAGAAGCCAGATGCAGGGCAGGGAAGCCACGGCCGGGGACTCTGGTGGCCGATGCTTCCCTGACCCACACCCAGCTTCTGTGATCGCCCACGCACCCGGCTTCTGCGGTCACAGATCGCAGAAGCCGGGTGCGGGGCAGGGAAGCTGTGGCCGGGGCGCTGGCGGAGGCTGCTTCCTTGCCCACGCACCTGGCTTCTGTGATCGCCCCTGCACTGGGCTTCTGTGGTCACCGATCACAGAAGCCGGAAGCTGGGGACGCTGGCGGCAGCCGCTTCCCTGGCCCTGCATCCGGCTTCTGCATCGCTGTCTGTGTCCGCTTCCCTGCCCCACCCCCCAGGCTTCTCCGATCACCCTCTGGTGGCAGGGCAAAGGGGGCCTCCAGGGCCGACCTTTGCCCTGCTCCCTGGCTCTTGCCTGCGCCTGGGTTTCTGATCACTGTCTTCCATCCTTCCCCTTTCTCCTCCCATCATTTCGAGAATGCAAATTAGCCGCCATCTTTGTTGGCGGTTAACCGCCATCTTGGCTGGCAGTTAATTTGCATATCGCCCTGATTAGCCAATGGGAAGGGTAGCGGAGGTACGGCTAATTACCATGTTTGTCTATTATTAGATAGGATAGCCATGTATAGATATATATCTATATGTAGATATGTAGATATTGACTTCAGAGAGGGAGATAACACATCAATGAGAATCATTCATGGGCTGCCTCCTGCACGCCCCCTACAGGGGATCAAGTGGGAAACCCAGGCTTGTGCCCTGACGGGAATCAACGGCGACCTGGTTCATAGGCCAACACTCAACCACTGAGCCACACCAACCGCCCCGCTACCTCTTACTTTCTAGATTAATTTTCTCTCATAATTTGGAAAAAAAAATGTTCAGTGAATAGTGCTGCTACCTATCAGGCTGATGTCACTTTCCTCTCTCGTCTGAAATAGCAAGA